GAGAAGTAAACTTCCTCCGGAAAATAAAGTCCGGGAAGTAAATATCATTCAAAAATTAAAATTTCAAAAAGTAAGATTAGAACGTTAAGCTTAGAGGGCAAGCTTAGAGAAGTAAACTTTTTGAATAGTCACTTCGAGTAGTAAAAATAGCTAGGAAAATAAGCAAAGTAAAATCACTCTGCATTCATCATAATTTGCATCCAAAAATAACTTTGCACTTAAAGACACTTTTGGAGTATATATACTTCTCGGCCACGCAATAAATACTACGGCCATGAATTAACTTTTTCGGTGCTTCAGGCATAAACTAACTTCTCAGATGCTTCAAGCATGAGCTAACTTCTCGGATGCTTCATGCTTCTGGCATGGACTAACTTTTCAGCCATGAATATATTTTCATACATTGTTCAAAACCTTATCATGACACCAATCATTTCTTCATCAATACCTCATCATCATTTCATTATCATCATTTATCGATGTATTTGCTTCAGGCAAATTAGCTAGAATCATCAAGATGAGACACATTCTTCGACGACGAAGTGCTTTGGTGTGCGGGCATGTAGGGATCAATGCCCTTCACACCCACATTGATAGCAAACCTCCTTCTGGCTAGAATTTTGCCTCGATGAGTTTGGTCGTCCTTGAATATCTTGATCACTTTGTTTCTTATTCTGAGCTCGAAACTCATACGACACCAGTTATAATCTCGACTGCAACCCCTTATAAAGTTACTCAAGTATGTAACATAATGTGCTTCAGGCACCTGTGCAAAATCAACCAGAGATGCATTTTGATTCTTCATCAACAACTGGTTATGTGTCTTAGCCACAAGAAGTGCTGAAATCAGCGTAGGATGGTTCTCATAACTTGTTGTCTCGTACTACTGCTGGAGTACAAATTACTCACACGAAAAGTTGGCAATGTCTTTTCTATTAAATATTTCTTTAAAACTTCTTGTTTAGAGTTTCACTTCTAAGACTATTTTGTGCAGAGTTGAATTATAGTCAGTTACTGACTTATAATCTTAAAACTTAAGATTAATCTAGTCAAATTATGTCTGAGGAAGGACAATAGATGACTACTAGTCAAAATGGTCCTTCAGTGACTTACATAACGCAATATGGACTTTTTCAATCAAATACTCATTTTTAAGATCGTGGTTCAAGTAGTGACGTATGAAAATGAGAGCTTGTGCCTTCTGAGCATCGGTTCTCTGTGACTTAGCAACAAAAGTTTGGCTCGATTTCTTAGATGCCAAATATATTTCAATATCCAAAGCCCAAATGAAATAATTGCTATCGACATGAGCGAGCTCAATAAATTCACATTTTCAATGAAAGGCATAATCTACAAGATCATCATTTGATGCCACTTTAGGAAGCAATGTGACAACTTGTGGAAAAACTACTATTTTGAATACATGTGCAAGCAATGGATGAAGAAACACCTTTTACATAAATATGCAATGCAAACATAATAAGGACCGATTATACATTCGATATCCATAGTCATAGAAGATACATGGATACATATACATACAATTTGGCATATAACCATATGTATTTACCATTTCAAAGCATGATGGTTCATATAGAGCCTATCTCATATACATGAATTGAGAGAATAAATAAAGATAATATGTATTTACAAATTCATCTATTTACCCAAATTCTTAATCATGTCTTGATGAGGGTTCATCACTCAAAAGTTGTTAACAAACATGAAGAATTATCACTCATTTCATAGAAACAATAATTGAAGGTTCCAAACCAAACTCATAGCCATATATACACATAATATTTAGATATAAACAATGGCATATGATTCACAAAACAAAATGCACAGGAAAAATGAACCAATAGTACCGTTCACCGGAGATTACAATAGAGACTCGTGCTGATAACGTGTTGTAATTCGGCCTATCAACTCGTTAGTTCTCGCGTGATGTTTGCACGGTAATGCTTGGAGATTGTATGTATATGAGTATATAGAATAGATAAGTAAAAGGGAAAGGAAGAACACAACGTATAGAACACAATCACATGAGACCATCTTTTCATTAAGCCTTCACCCTCAATTTATAGGGATGATTACAACCTTTCACATCCTTTAACATAAGTAATGAAATCAGTAAAGGCTAACAAAAAGTCACAAGTTTAATGGCCATAATAATAAAATATTCATAACACATATAGGATATGTACAATTTTTGCACATATCAATAAATAGAGTTTTTCAGTATTAATGTGAAATATTATATTAGGGAGTACAATTAAATAAATGACAGGCATAGCAATAATAGATTAAAATGCCTATGATTATTTAAATGGAAATCAATATTATTTGTTAGCAGAAGCTCCGGCAGGCAGGGAGATCCTCTCTCTCCGTATCTTTTTATTATTTGTGCAGAAGCTCTCTCGATGATATTACAGTATGAACAGTTGGCAGGCTCAATACATGGGTGCAGAGTTGCAAGGGGGACGCCGCCTGTATCACACCTATTTTTTGCGGATGATAGTCTCCTATTTTTTAAAGCAAATGTCCAGGAGGCGGGAGTTATAAGGCAGTGCCTTGCAAGGTATGAGAAATTGTCAGGCCAGGTGGTGAATTATAATAAATCTAATATATGTTTTAGCAGAAATACTCAGGAAGCTGACAGGGCATGGGTAGCGGATTGTCTGGGGGTGGTGCAAGCACCCAATTTTGGGAAATATTTGGGCCTACCTTCCTTTGTAGGGAGAAATAAGAGAGCTATTTTTTCGTATGTGGAGGAAAAGATCAGGCAACGAATTGGTTCGTGGAGTAAAAAGTTACTTTCTCAGGCTGGTAAGGAAGTATTGTTGAAAAGTGTAGCGCAATCTATGCCTACCTATTCGATGAATGTTTTTTTGTTACCTGAGACAGTTTGTCAGTCAATTGAGCGAACTATGAATAAGTATTGGTGGGGGAATGGAAGAGAAAGGGGAATACATTGGAAGGCATGGGACAGGTTGTGCATACCAAAGAAGTATGGTGGTATGGGTTTTAAAGAGCTAAGGGCTTTTAATCTAGCGATGTTGGGTAAACAGGCATGGCGCTTTTTAACGGACCCAGGAACACTTGTAGCTAAAATCTATAAGGCAAGGTATTATCCCACAACCAGTTTTACAGATGCAACTATTGGTAATTGCCCAAGTTACTGTTGGAGAAGTATAATGGCAGCCCATGCAATGGTAGTCTCAGGGGTGCGAAGGAGAATTGGGAATGGACAGACAACTTTAATATGGGGGCATCCGTGGTTACGAGATAATCCTAGTCCATTGATTCAAACAGAAATGCCACACCAATTGAGAGAGGCACGAGTTGCAGGATTAATTGATTTACAGACTCATACCTGGGATCCACATATTTTGTCTGACTTGTTTATTCCTGAAGATGTGGAGCGAATAAATATGATACCTATTAGTCCTGAGTACGAGGACTTATGGTATTGGATGAGTGACCCAAAGGGGACATATACAGTAAAGAACGCCTATAGGCATATTGTGGGTGATTATGAGAATACTCCCGCGAATTTTGATAAATGGGTTGCAATGTGGAAAATAAAAGTCCCCCCAAATGGAAAACTTTCTTGTGGAGAGCCATATGTGACATTTTGCCAACAACCCTTAACTTGATGTTTAAAAGGGTGGAGGTGGACCCAACATGCCCAATGTGTGGTTTAGATCATGAAGATGTGTTACATGCTTTAGTGCTCTGTGAATATTCTAGACTTGTTTGGAATATAACGCAATTGCCTATCACTAATATTGTTGCAGACTCTTTTACAACATGGCTGAAAGGGGCAATGGCGGTCACGACGGAGGAGCAGATCCGGTTAATGGTAGCAATATTATATTATATTTGGAGAACCCGGAATTCAGCTGTCTGGAAGGGATTAATGATGCGGCCTGCCCAATTGGCCAGAGCAGCCACCGTACCACTGCAGGCGTACGGCACTGCCCATGTCCGCCGAAACGAGCCGGCAGTGGCATCGGAGCACTTAAACGATCCAGGGGAGGGCGGTCTACGGTGTTATGTGGACGCGGGTTTCCGGCACGACACGGGCGAGGCTACATATGGCATGATAATAATAGCGCCCGATGGCTCTTTTATGGCAGCAAGGAATGGTAAATTACCAATTTGTTTTTCACCACTTATGGCGGAGGCCCAGGCATACAAGGAAGCACTGTCCTGGCTTCTTGAACGGAACAACACATCAGTAAGTTTACTCACGGATTGCATGGAATTGTCTACGATTATCCGACACCATCACACGCCGATACATTCCTACGTTGGGGTCACAATTGACCAGTGCAGAGAGTTTATGTCTTTTTTGATCGTATTACTTTGGATTACATCTCTAGACAGGTTAATTTACATGCGCATACTTTAGCTACGTTAGCATTTACACAGGATCAAGCTATGTACTGGGATACTATTCCACCTGACGCTATTTCGGCTTTGATTCATTAATACAATCGCAAGATTGACCTTCAAACACTAGTACAGATTTGCACATCCGCTACCCTTGTAAAAGGCTATCCGCTACCCTTGTACAAGGGTAGCGGATATTAGGGTCTCTGAAAACCCTGAGCTTTCCGCTACCCTTGAATAAGGGTAGCGGAAAGTTAAGAATCCGCTACCCTTCTTTACACAGAAGGGTAGCGAATACCATTAATTTATTAAAACAATCCGCTACCCTTCTTTTTAAGAAGGGTAGCGGATTGTTTTTATGAATTAAAAAAAAAATCATTATTATATTTAAATTTCCCAATTCTTTTAAAATCCTATAAGAATTCATACAAAACATATCAACATAATATTAACCATCAACAAACTATCAAAACAAAATATTATCAACATACTTTAAATATACATAGTTCTATTTAAATTTTCTATATCATAAAAAAGTTCTGTCCAGACGAAAATGCACAAAGCCAAAAACAGTTACTGCTTCTGAAATTACAGTCAACAGTGTACAGGTGAGACAACTTAATAACACCCACAAAATGCTTTCCTGAAGAAGTGTACCCAAAAAAGCTTTTACTAAACCTCTCAGAGCACTCCCTGTAAACTCCACATATCATTACAGGGATAATTGGAACTTACTACTCATGTTTTCTTCCCTCCACTAATTTCATAGTTATAGTGATATCCTAACAGCACTTCATTGATGGGTTGCGTTTAGTTGATGCCACCATTATTCACTATAATTAAGCTAGGAATAGACTCCAGCTGACAGAAGAGCATATATCCAAACAGGGCATGATATGAAAATAAATCAAATAATTGTAATGAGACAAACCTCGGCAGCTGCTCCTTCGTCATCTTTGTACCCAAGTTTTTCTAAGATTTCATGTATGGCAGTCAAGTCCGATCTCAAGCAAGCTTCACCAAGAGGAGATAAAGACATAGATTCACCATTCACTGGTATACCCATTAATACATGAGACGGAACCTGAATACCAAGTTTCCATAACTTCAATTAGTCACGTTATCTAGTTAATCAAATAATCCATTACAACATGCTCATCAGATGAGAAAACATATCGAAATGACTAGATGAACCCATAAGGCGTAAACAATGCAGAAAACTAAATAGACAAATATAAATAGTGCAACTGTTAAAGACTTCTTTAATATGAAAAGCAGCCTCAAGTCTCCTCGGGCTAAATATAACTTCTCTGTAACTTGAAACCCAAAACAAAGGGGAACAGAGAAGAGAATATAAGAGGAAGAAGATAGTTCATATGTGATGGCTGACCAGATCAGGCACACAAGTGGAGAGCCAACCCTTAATTCGTGCAAGAGCTCGTCAAACCTTAATACGCACCACAAACGAACCTGATTAAATTATGAACACATACATGTGCATCAGAAATAACTCAGGACAGCTTTGACTTGTAGGGTTTTATCAATTCATCAAGTTTATCAAGTGGCGAAAATCAAGATCATAACAAGAATCTATACTATTTTCTTCCAATTATTGGGGGTAGTTTTACACAGCTAATAATTTGCACAGCTAATGATGAAGTACCTTTTAACTTTTTAAGTTTGTTTAGTAAGCAAATTTGTCAAAAACATTAAAACTAGATTTGAGCCAACATCTCTGTAAATGGACACTTGTCCACTACCCATGACCATCTTTGGTGCAAAAGTAAATGTAATGCTTGTAATCTATTGTTTTCCAGGACTAGGAGTGACTTTTCAGATAGAATATACTCTCAAAAAATCTCAAAAATTAACAAACTTGGTTACTAACAGTCTGATAGAGGGACCTAAGCTGTGTGTTCCACTTATCCACGGCAGTGTATTTCTTCATCCCCTTTGACCTGCATGCAAAACATTACAAATGTGAAATATAGTGTGGAAAAAAAAGTCAAAAACCAATAAAAATCAGAAAAGAATGGCGGTATTTAAAATAATACTCTGTAATAATGAATAGATAAATAGGAAAACAAATATGGAATGTCCTTGCAGCTCCTTCACTGTACAAGAGGACACTGATCTCTATCTAATCACCTTGGATATGAAAGGGATCCGAATTCTTGTGTAAGGCTTGATCAGTTTGAGCAATACTTGAGTCCTCATATTCCTCATAAGATCTTCAATGTAATTTCGTATAAAAGGATCATCCATTATTGTCCTTCTATTACTCTGAAGAAATTTACAAAATTAGTTTAAACTAATCACAGCCGCATTTACCTCGTATTTGTTACAGAACTTGTTGTTCATAAAGTGAGTGATGATACTGCTTTTGCCGACAGACTCGTCTCCTAAGATGACGAGATTGTACCTGGCACTGGCGAGGACGGGAAACTGTTGTACATAAAGCAAGTGAGTGATGATACTATGAGCTCATAGGCAGGGAGTATTTCTACATTATATTGTTTGACCTATCCAATGATTACTAACAACAAGAAGAACCATTAGTTGCAGAATCAGCAGAAGCAAAATGTGTTTTTCTTGCCTTGGTATCATCCAGGTACTTCTGATATATGTCCTCCTTTGACAATACTACATTTACAAGACCAGACCAGCTACAGGGCATCGTACTTGTAGAACCATCAATGCCTCTCGGTCCCTGTCGTATAACGAGCACTCTCTCTCCCATCTCTTGCACTGCAACAACGAGCATTCCACCGCCAGTCTCTGATTCTCCTCTAGTCACATATGATAGCACTAGTCATCAGCAACTAGAACAATCATAAAAACATCAAAATAAACTAATTGTTAAACTTGGGAGAAGATTGAGAAACCACAAAGACATGAGAGCAAGAACTGATCATGGAACTTGCATTTTAGAGATACATCTTTTCAAGAAACAGTAAAGTGACATACTGGCATCTGCTAATACAATTACTACAGAATACTAGAACTACCAAAGATGTTTATTACGAAACAAGTTTTTTTCACTTTTGGTTCCTCTACTATAATACCCCTTCCAAAATTAGGTCCCCGACTATCAAGATTTTTAATGTTTGTGCATGAATATTCAATTTCTTCATCCTTAGCTCAATTTCTCGGGCAACCTAAGCCTCCGGAAAATTGAGCTGATGACAAAATGTGAGAGCAATTGAATAGTCATGCACCAAAATTGGGGGTATCATAGTCAAGTAACCAAAAGTGGAAAAAACTCTTAGAAAACTAAACCATTATTTAACTAAATTATTTAACTAAATTAGAGGTCCTGGTTAATTATTTTCAGCCCCCACCCCAATCTCATGCTTATTGTATTTGCAGTTAAGGGTTCCTTAAGTAAATACTCGAAAACCCCAAAAGAAGAATCATCTAGAAATGAGAAATTACACTTCAATTCCCAGGTTGAAACCTAGCTCGAAACAACTATTATCTGCTAAAAAAGAAAACAGATATCAACAATCTCTGTCTAAACAGAGCTAATTTAGTCCACGAAGCTCTGGATCCAACTAAATCCAAGCTAAACGCGAAATGGCAGATCAAGCAAAACACATAAATTCATTTCAATAACATTGGCACCCCAAATGAATTGAGAAAGAAAAGGACGAAGAAAGCAGAAAGAGAACCTCATAGGTAGTGCCTTCGGCGGAACCGGCGGTGGCTGAGAACCACAGTGGTGGTGGCGACGTCAGTGGCAGGCGTCGTCGACAGTACGTGGAGGCGTCGTTTTCGGCTGGGTCTGGTCACCGGTAGCTAACGAGAAGAAGAGAAGCGTCATGGGTGGTTGATGAGAGTGGCGCTTGAGTCCTTAGCTTGGTGTCGGCGGTGGCATTTGATCGGGGCTGAGGGAGCGTGGTGAGAGAGGCGGTGTCGACGGCGGAGGTGCGGTCAGTGAGGAGCGACGGCAGAGAGTGTTGGAGAGGTGTGAGAGCGAGATCTGGTTTGTGAAAACTGAAGAGGCGTTGAAGGTTTTTGTTTTTTTGTTTTTTTTTTTTTTCTTTTTTGCTTTTTTTTTTCTTTTATTTTTTCCCGATCTGGTTTCCGTGCCCTTTCTAAAAGAAAGGGTAGCGGAAAGTCTATCTGCTTTAATAAACCGCTTCCCTTTTTTTAAAAAAGGTAGTGGTTTCTTATTCATTTATTTACAATTATGCCACCGTCCTATTTTTTTTTTAAGAATACACTACCTTTGTTTAAAGAAGGGTAGCCTAAAGTCAGATTTCTTTGCTCCATTTTGTACTAGTGAAAAAAAATGGAAATCAATATATATAGAATTACATGAAAAACTTCAAACCCTACTGAACTAATTGTGCATAGTAAATGAACAAAAGTGATATTCATTTAAAAAATAAAGTAAAGGTAATAATAATTAAAAAAAATAAATAAAAACCAATCCATGATAATATGATCATTCCAATCGATTATTGAAACTTACATCATTTTTGTCTCCGGTGACAAGCAAAAGAAATCAGCATCAGCACGCATAGCAACCTAATCTGAAGCAATCTATATACCTAGAAAGGATTAAGGAAGCTTGATTGGCAAACAGAAAATACAGCTCTTAGAATATGAATTAGAGTGGGGTGTGGAGATAGTAAGAAAAATACCAAAAGTATTCATTTATATCATCATAGTTCCTCCACTGGGAATATTTTGATTCTCCTCTTCTGCTTCTTTTAGCTTCCTAATCAAAGTTGTGAAGAGGGTTAACAAATATTTTCACCCCTTTACCACAATATCAATATTTCAATTCTATTAATTCAACACTTTACCGCAATCAATTGCACACTACATATACTAACTATATCAAAACTACTAAATAAATGAATAAATTAAACACATATAAGTATCAACACATTATTAAAATTAACTAAAAATATGTATGCAAACATTTAACACTCCATCATAATTAGACGTCAACACAATAAGATACATAAAAACACTGCAAATTGGTCAATTGTATAGAACAATTCAAAGGAAATAAACAAAATGGAATATAATATGAGAAGATCAGATACATAACAACACTGCAAATTGGTCATGAAGATAATTCCTGTTTCTGTATTAAACTACTTGCAAATCACATTAAAATACTATTGATACAGTCAAATTAGTGATTGTAGCAAAGGTCGCACAGTAAAATGTTGGCACTGCAGAGTAAACTGTAGGTCGCACCATCAACCGACGAGAAGGAAGAAATTGCGAAACTGTAACACCCCCAATTTTCACACACTTGAGCCTAGTAATAACCTTAGTTTAAGAGATAGAAATCCGGAATAAGGAAAGGGGTAATATACTAATTACCCAAATCATACAACCAAAAAGGGGATCCTACTCCGTAGTCACCTTCCACAGAGTAACTACACGGGAAAGGAACTAATATATCCACATCAACATTCATTCATGGCACACTAAACCAAATCAATTCAAAGTCGAAGCTCAAAATATAACTTAAGGCTCTCAGGCCTAAGTGTCAAATGCACTACAAAATATAATAATGGTAAACTAAACTACTCAAAGTCTAACATTAGACAAGTCTAAGAGGTTTGACAAACAGCTAGGAACTAGCATCAAACTCTATAATAACTAGCCCCATCTAACGCGCTCAGCAATCACGTACCGGTCAAACCTGAAAGAGGTTAAGTAAAAAGTATACAAAAGCAACCCGTTAGACGAATGCTAAGTATAAACCACTCTATCTTGTAAAGTACAATATAGATATATGTTTGGAAAATAGATTATTTCACACTTAACACGTTAGCCAATTAAGATCATAGATACGAGATAAGTAACTCACGAGTATATAAGTATACATATATAGCAATAATGCCTAACTATGAACAATAGACTCACATGCACGTGTAATACACAAGTCAAGCACTAAGTAATTCGTACAAAAGTATACATATATAACACGCATAACAATCTAAGAAGCATGCTTAACTTAAAAGATCAAAGATAGGCAAGGTTAGAAGTAATCATGTGAATAATTAGATCATATCAAAATGGTATAACATCACATCAATCACAAAAATGGAGATCTATGTCAATACGACAATAACGAGAAAGTCAAATGAGTCAACTCTAGCCATTAACATGAATACCCTCAAAGAGAAAGATAAGGTAAATACGTATAGATAATAGTAGTGGAGGGGTCATCATACTTTCCATATTCATCTCATCATATTAATGTTATCATATCATCACGGTGGGGAGGTAGGAACTTCACCATATGTCACTAGTACAAAAATAGTCATTCGCGTCCAAAGTTAAGGTTAATACGCGTCCAAAGTTGCTTGGACGCCTATGTGGGAGACGCTGATTGTATGTACTATACGCGTCCAAGGTAACTTTGGACACGCAAAACTATTATACGCGCCCTAAGTTTAAGAACATTAGACACCTATGTATTTTTTAAAAGAAAATAAACACTATACGCGCAAAGTTCGTAAACTTTAGAAATAAAAATAATACAATATGCGTCTGTTCCTGACAAGAAAGAAACGCATATTGTCCTGCTTTTAATTTTTAATTTTTTTTATAAAACTACAAATAAACTATCAACAAATAATATAATATACTTCAACATTAATCAATTTAATATATACACTACATCACACCAATTCTATCAACTACAACACACCAATTCAAAATTTAATGTATTTTAAAATTTTTCTTTCTTTTTTATAAATTTACAATTTGTATATCTCCAATATAAAATACAATATTAAGTTGTTCAACGGAATCAAAGTGTATACAATAATTTAATATTCAGAATAATAGTCTTAATCATGAACAATAAAAACTCTAGCGAATACAGAAAGAGGATATAATTTAATTGAAGTGGATACCTTTAGATCCTGGTGTAAAATAAGAGACAACCTTCTGACATATCCTGGTGGATACCTGCAATAGTTATAGACTTGTAATTGATTAGGCATTTAGGCTAATGTAGGCTAGAAAAGGAGCTCACAGATAGACGGCACATCACTTCCTCCTGTGGTCCAATGTTGGTGGCAATATGCAGATAATAGTTTGCAGAATGAGTTGAAGTTAAATTTTAGAATTTCAAATTGACTTGTTTTAAATTTTCAAATGTATATTCATGAATGAATTATTTTCAACCATATGAAATGTGTATATGTTTTTCAGCAAATATGTTACCAACTTGCAACAAAATATATATATATATATATATATATATATATATATATATATATATATATATATATATATATATATATATATATATATGTATGTATTTCATTTCACTTCAGAGGGGTTCCTCTTTGTAGTGAAATGAATTTTTTTTTAATTGACTATGTCAAGTTTTTCGACCACCAAAGTGGTCAAAAAATCCGAAACCACCCGACTATTCTGCTGGCCGTTTTTTCCGACG